CGTTAAATTTGAAATCGAGAAAAAAAATAGGGGGTTCCATTTGAAATAAGCAACTTTTTGAGGTTTAAAAACATGCAAGTTTAGAGGCTAATTGCTCGGTTTAGAAGTATTTCCTTATAATTTAAAACATATCTACACGTAGATCATGATGTTCTGTTAGAATCGCTGAAAACTGTGTTCCAAAATTCGCAGCGGGTAGTGTACAGCATCGATTTCTGTGAAACCCAGTAGCTGTCAAAACTTTCACATTTTTACGAATAACTCGGAAATCGTAAATTTTTCAGGTAAAACGGTTGAAACAACCATAAATTAAAATTGTACGGCCAATCTGAAAATAACAAAAAAAAAGGGGGGGGTTTCATTTAAAAAACCAGAGTTGGTAACTACCACACGTTTATGATGCACCCTGTATATTGGAAAGTAATTTTAGAATGTGGACTTTTTAAACGTGAAAAACTTTCGTTGGACGAATTTTCTTGTAAACTTCATATTTACTGAGATATCGCACTTTGACGCACTAATGAGCAACCCTGTATAAGCGTGGTCCAAAATGTTATAATTTTTTAAAAAGGTGTTTCCCTCTTCCTTCTAAGCGCTCATTATCATTTTGCTGTCGAATGTGCCCTTAAAGCAGGAATAAATTGCGAATTTACCTCAAAGTTTTCAAAAAAGATCCAAAAAATGAAGCCTATTGACAGAAAGTGTATTTTAATGTTTGATGAAATTTCATTATCAGAACAGCTAACTTTCGATAAATCCAGAGACATGATTATTGGATATGTGGATCTTGGCCACCTAGGTCGGGTTAACAAATCTGCAAATCATGCCTTAATTTTTATGGTTTATGGGCTTCATAAAAATTGGAAACAGCCGGCAGCGGTTTTTTTTACTAGAGGTACTGTGGAATCTAAGCCTTTACAATCCCTTGTTAAAGACATCATAATAGCTTTGGAAGCTGCTGGTCTTGTCGTTCTAGCGACGGTTTGTGATCAGGGAGCTACCAATGGCAAATCGATTTCAAATTTATACCTCAAAACCCAAAACGGAAATTATGAACCACATTCATATTTTAAAATCAACAACCACAAAATTTTTACTCTTTTTGATACTCCGCATTTACTGAAATCCACAAGAAATTACCTTTTAAAATATTGTATAAAAGTTGATAAATTCAATATTGCTGAAATGGATCATATTCGGCAATGTTTCAACATCGATAAACAAAGACGGCTTCAAGGCATGAGAAAGAATACCTGAATTTAAGAGGCAAAAATCGGCTTAAGATGAAGGTATCTGTAGCGGCGAAAACCTTAAGTCATACGGTTGCTCCATGTATGAAGCAAACCATTAGCAACCCTTGTAATAACTTGGCAGCTGATGCAATCCATACTGCAGAATTTATTCATGATATTGACTGTCTATTCGACAGCTTTAATGGTCGACTCCCTAGTCCCGAGTTAGGAAAGCCGTATTGTAGGTGCTTATCGGATAAATTTGCGCATAAGCCATTGTGGCTCAATTTAAAGCCAAAAATACAGAGCTGGGAATTTATTTCTGCACAATCCTGCAAAACAAAAATGGTCAATGGATCAATAACATCGATGCGATATGTCAATTATGGGACGTATGCCGGCGTTTAGGTTTTAAATTTAAAAGAACTAGGTCATTAAACCAAGATCCCTTAGAAAACATGCTTTCACTACTGCGTAATCTTTCCGATCAGAATACAAATCCTAATTCATATCAATTAATATCATTTTTCAAAACGGCAGTTACTACAAATTTAATTGCTCCCACTTGCAATCGTAATTGTGAAAAAGATGAAAGCAACATTTTAGACAATTTACAGGACTTTTTAGATAATGAAACTAACGATGATTTTATACTATTGCAAATTTTGCAGAAAAATGAGCTTGATAAATTAGAAATAACTGGCATGGCCATAGAATTCGACGAAGGCGACAAAAACACATCCGCATATGTAGCTGGTTTTTTAATCAAGAAGCTACAGTCAAAAATTACTTGTTATGAGTGCTTAGAAAACCTAATTTCTGAAAATGTTGAGTCACATCATACCTTTACAATGCCACTGCCACTAAAGAACTAACATATATTTTAATGAGACTATATGACATAATCATGCATATATTACCAAAGTTCGGGCATATTACCCATTTAACAACAAAAAATTAAAATCTTTATCAAGGACAAAATTTCTTTTGAGTGGTTCACATGCAAAGAACATTTAGAAAAGGTGTTAAAATATATTTTAAATGTATCTATCGATTTAATAATTAAAAAATTTTGCGACGATTTGCACCGATCTCTTAACATCACCAAGAGAAGTAAATACGACCAAAACAAATTTAAAAAAGTTAAGCGCTTGTAGGAACTTTTATTTAATTTTTATTTTTTCTGAGCCTCTTGGTCAATTCTAGATAAAAACTTCTTTTAATATAATTAATGATTCAGTTACCCCAGTTTTTTTCCCATTTCCTCGCTTTGGTTCCAATGATGAATCTAGGCGCCCGATCAATGGTTTTTATTCCTCTGAGGTATGGTACATTACCCTGAGGTAACAAAGCTTCCCATTTTTGAACAAAGAACTGAAACATTAAATCTTCAAAACGCAGACTAAAGTTATTTTCATAAAGAAGGGAGGGCAGTTGGATTTCCACTTGTTTTTTCCCCTTCAGGACTTAGGTTTAGCTACCCAGTTCTTCCTTTTGGGACTCTTCGTAAGACTATTTCTGTTTTTTACTACACAAATGTTTACTTACTTAATAAATGTTATTTTATTTTGATTTTAGTACCTATATATTATTTCATTCCCTTTCATGGATCCCCTTAAAGCAATTTATTTAATAGTGACATATCTAACTACATCTGGATCAAAAATTGCGTTCTGAGTGTTACAATTTAGATGTCCTTGCACATTGTAGTCTCGGTTCATTATTAGTGGAAACAGGAATTTGTGAGCACCCTGTTGAGTAAACAGCTCATTTTCCATTAATAACCGAGAGAACATGTGTAGACACCGAAATTTGGGTACCCGGAGTATTTTGTACCTTTAAAAAATTTAAATTCCCGCTTCTAATTAGCCGATAATCTAGATAGGGTAAGGTTGCCTATATTGGACCGGCTCTTAAATAGGACCCTTCTAAATTTGAGCAAACCAACGACAACTGGCGGTATCTGTTAATACCAACTAGAGCTGTACTCTAAAAACTGTTTTTGTTCCAACAAGTGTCCACCTGCAAACAGTGGTTGAGAAAATATTAGTGTTTTCCAGATTATTTAACATCTGATAAAAAAATACGACTACTTACCGTTCAAGTAAGTAACTATTAGATTTATAGTATCCTTATTTATCATGATTCATTAAATAGACCATAGTTTAATTTTTAGTAAATTTCCATAGTAATTTTTAAGAGGAAACGTTTTAAAGAGGAACTTTTAATAGGTGCTCCACCTGGCAGCATTGTCACTATTAGTGATACTGGACATATCAATAGTGAACTTTTTGTCAGATGGCTTAATTATTTTATTGAAACAGTTAAGCCAAGTCCCGAAGCCACTGTTTTGTTATTGTTGGATGGTCACAGCACCCACAGCAAAAACCTACGGGCTCTACGAATTGCTAGGGAGAATGGAATTAGGTTATTACAGTTACCAAGTCACACCACACACAGACTTCAGCCATTAGATGCTGGATTTTTCAGAGCCTTTCAAAACTTCTATGGGCAATGCATTGAAAAATGGTGCGGCATAATGTGGGTCGTACTCTATCAACGTTTCAAGTTTCCGGGATAATTGACGAGGTTTATGGACTTGCTGCAACAGTGAGAAATGCACAGAACGCTTTTCGTGTTGCCGGCATTTAGCCTATAGATGAAAATGTTTTTCAAGAAACAGATTTTGCAGTTTCAATAATTTTTAACAGTGCTTCGACTTCCTACCAAGAATCACAACAAGAAGCATCCTCTTCTGAAGAAGATAATTTAACTTTGGCGCAAATCGCATCACGAACGAAGCGAGCAGAACCAACTTCCCAGAACGTTTCAGTTCACGAAATTTCGCCGTTACCCATAAGCAAATCACAATCATCAAAAATTTCCCGAAACCAAGACGCAGTGGAATTGACGAGTTTTCCATACAAAAATTAACTTGAAGCAAGAGCCGAGGCATTTAAAGTGAAATTTGTTAAAACTACTTTTAACCACTAATTTGTTAAAAAGCGGTTGTTAGAAAAAGCGAGCACGATTAGATGAAGCTAAATCTGACAGCTGGTATTGTGAAATATGCGAATCTGAATTAGTTGAGGAAATGATCCAGTGTCTTAAATGCAAAATGTGCCAATGTTTCGCTGAGAACTAAAATATTTTATTGTTCAAACTGTAAAACCCAAGATTGAGTTGAAATTCTTGTGTTATGTTTGTTTTCTTTATATATCGCTATCCTAAATTGAACTTTTGTTAATGTTTTTTCTTTTGGAAAAATTTAATACTATAAACTAATTTGTACCTTTTGTTTGTGGGTTTTTGAAATATAATCAGTATGTAGGAAAGCATATTTGTAATAAAAATTTGAAATATTTAGTAACATGTGGTATACAGCAGGTGTTTGAAAAGTGGTCCAAATTAGGCAACCTTACCCTACCTGTTTTACCGTCCAAGCTTCCCGTTATTGACGATCAGCCGGTTGTAGCGCAAAGCGGGTCCAAGTTTTAGCATTATACCGCCACCTCTCTTATTTTACTTTCTCTATGCATCCATACCACCGAAAATACGGCACAGCCACCTATGCTAAAAGCATTGAACTATATACTAACTGGAACGGCATCGGCCATAAGCAGCTATTGTCAGGGGCCGTAGCGAGTATTTGTATGATAGAGACGGGTACAGGTAGGTATTCCGCGTCGTGTTCATCACATGTGCTTATATGCCGACTTTTATACTGCGTCATATATTTTGTTTATTTTTGTTTACAACGAACTGTTTTTAAATTTGCAAACATGGTTATGGGATGTGTGGCATATCAATGCAATAATGTGCATAATAAGAATAGTAATATTCAATTTCATGGGTAAGTTTTTACACCATTTTTCAAACTAGCCGCATGTAAACATTTTGAATCATTAATGTGAAATTATTTTAGTTTTCCGTTTAAACGACCTGAAATCCTGACAATGTGGATCAATGCCATAAGGTGGGAGGACTGGACACCATCCAAAAGTAGCAAATTATGCAGTGTCCACTTTTTGGACACTGATTATCAAATACGCCCTGGGACCAGTGTTAAATTATTAAAGTGTGATGCAGTGCCAAGCATTTTCAGTTTTCCAGAA